CAAAGTCAATTATTGACACAGCTTTCTTAAGTCTCAATAGAGTTCCCAAATTGTCATGACATATAACCTAGAAAACTTATCGCTAGAACATAGAGTTATCACCGATCTTTTTTGTTTAGGTGTGATTAGCTATGTAATTGAATCTGTCACTTTTTTAAAAAATCCTAAGTTACTTAGATTCCTTAAAAAGAGTATATTCTAATCTATAAACCAAGCCAGGTCTTGGAATATGGCTACGTAAAAGAAAGGTATTAACACCCTTCAACACCCAATCTAAAGAATAAAACCAAGTGATTTCATGCTATCCTTTAAGTCTTTAAAATTTTCTTAAAAAAAATGTTAGAATAGTTAATATTGAAACTTATTCTTAAATTATTACAATATGTTGGTAACAATTTAAAAATATTTACTCACTTAGGAGTATTCAAGGAGATTATCGTATATCGTCTGATTCATTAAGGTTTTTTAAATAAATTTTTATCATAAAAAATCAAAAATTTTCATAGGAACCTTAGATATTGGAAAAACCTTTTTAAATTTTTCAATATGCTAATAAAATTTAGAAAGAATCCCTTATATAGAAATTTAAAAACAAAAATTACTATTTCCAGCATTCTAATAATTCCATCATTGAAACATCCAAAATTAACTTTATGAGATGCAAATACACATGACAAATCACAATCATTTAATATTCATTATTAAAAAATTTTCTTAAAAATCTTCTAGTATATTGGTAAATTTTATCAACCAAATTTATTGCAAAAATTCTCTAATATATTGATAAAATTTTATCTCAAATTAATTTTTTTTTTAATTTTCCAATATATTGATAAGATTTTATGATTTTATTTTCAAAAGTTTTTTTAAAACAATAAAATCTTCCAATATATTTGTAAAATTTTATAATTTGATTTTTCAAAAAGTATTTTTAAATCAATAAAATTTTCTAATATGTTTATAATATTTTATGATTTGATTTTTTAAAAGTTATTTTTAAACCAAAAAACTCTTTCAATATGTTAGAAAGATTTTATAATTTCAGTTTTTTTTTAAAAAATTATTTTTTAACCAATCAAATCTTTCACTATGTTGGAAAGATTTTATGATTTTATTTTTTAATTTTTTAAAACCCATATAATCCTCCAATATTTTGCAAGAATTTTATGAATTTATTTTAATTTTTTCTTTGTAAAAAAATTAATCTAAACAAATAAATAAAGTGAATAAATAAAATAAAAATAATGAGAAAAATAAAAATTACCCAAAAAAAAGCTGGTTAATGGCTTATACGGCATAGTCAACAACATGCAAGTGGCTGGTCAACGGCTTGAATGCACAAGTTGAAATTGGCTCAAATGTGCAGCTTAGTCTCAGTTTCAGCTCGCTATCTAGTCGGGTTCTCTTTAGGCCTTTGCATACATCTTCACACAAGTCTTAGATGATTTGGTTTTTTCTTATCCAAAACGTCGTCGTTTATTCTTTTTTATAAAGGTCTTTCTTTAAGCTGAAACTTTCATTTTCTCTTTTCTATTCCTTACTAAATTCGTTCTCTCTTTAAAATTCCAATCAAAATCATGAACACAATCACAGGAATCTTCATGTTTTCCAAAATCAGGTTTCAAATGATCAAATTCTTTCCTACCCAAAACATCACTGTTTAGGGTTTTATATAAAAATATCGCTTTAAGCTGAAACTTTCATGTTTCTCTTTTATTTCCATTCATTAAATTCATTCTCTCTTTAAAATTATAAAAAGCTCCAAAACTCATGAACATAGTCACCAAAATCTTCATGTTTTCCAAAATCTGGTGGTACTCCTCCAAACTGGCCATCCTTAGTCATCAGTGGTGTACCGTCGCCAATCACTGGACACCAAAAAAATCTTTTTCCAATCCCTTTTTATCTCCTCTTCCACTTTTTGAATAAAAATCAACAAAAACCAAATGAAACATCCTAGATCTAAGATCAATCCCAAGACCTTCCATTGCTGAATACATTGTGTTACAGTGTTCAAAACCTTTACCTTTTTTTAGTATGTACTTTCCAACCAATAGATCTTTCGTTTGCCAAATCTTTATTTCTAAGCACTACTAGAATTCTTAAAAATCACAACCCTAGCCAAACTCAAAAACAACTACCATGATAGAATTGTTCCTAATTTATCTTCTATGCTCCTCTTTGTGCGTATTGTGTGTATTCTGTATTCCATAATTTTCAGTATGCCCTTCATTTTTTATTGTTGTGGATTTAAGCCCATTAATCCCCATCCATGGAGAAGGCTAGATAAAAACAAAGTCCATTAAAAAAAATTTGTATTATATCTCAAAAATTTTATCCCTAAGAGATTTAATACATAAACGATTTCATCTCCAAAAAAGTTTTATCCAAATCAAATATGGACTTTTTCAAAAATTTTTATTTTTTTAACTGATTTTTTCTTTCTTTTTTTTTTTCAATAATTTTTGGTATTTTTATTTTATGAAAAGAAAGAATTTATTAAAAGAAAATACTAATAAAATAATAAAAGAGTAAATGGGTTTGGTTTAGGTTCAATATCCAAGGCAAGCCTAAAGCTTGGAATGGCAAACCCGATATTAAATGGGCTAACCTAAAGCCCAAGCTAAAACCCAAATTTTATTAAATGAACAAAAAATCCAAAAACAAGTCTCTCGAGATTCAAAAAATTTTTCAAAGGAGTTAGGAATCAAAGGAGGAATCTACATTAATAAAAATATTTTTATTTAATTTTAATTTTAAAATATATTTAAAATAACCAATACTAATATTTTATTATGTTTTAAAAAAAATAGAATCTTTGATGCTTGATGGATCATGTCGAGCCTTGACCAAGGTTTAGAAAGTCAATCAGGCCAGACTTGGTTTTACCTGATTCAATCCGTAAACAAATATTTTTACATATCCCATTATATGATTTGAAAGATGTACATATATCGGAGGCATAATGATACATATGGCTATAACTATACGTGTACGTATTTGTAAATTCTTGTGTAAATTAATTACTCTTAATGATGAAAAATCTTGTATCTTTTTTCTAATATATCAATAAAAAAAAATCACACTACTCCGTAAGATATCCTATATTTAAAATCTCATAACTAAATCAAGTTTCAAATTTTATATTAGCACATATCATTTTGAGGTTCAATCAATGTACTTATAATGGAGGCATATTGTACATATAATTTTTGAAATATGTACATATTACTTTGAATCTAATTAATCGTATACATTTGTGATCACCTATTTTGTTATTCGGTAAATTTTTAAGATTATTATTGTAATTTAATCACCGAAACTAAAGTGATCTTATTATTTATAATTTATAATTATTTTATTTAGTTAACAATTATTAATTTTTAAAAATTAAAAATTATTATGATTCGTATGCCTAAAAATCAAATATTGTTTGTTTAAAAATATCAAAATAAACATACATATTATAATAATCACACAAATTAATGATTTCAATGTTATTTAATTATAATAATTTCTAAAATAATAGTAATATTTTATTTACTTCATAATAAAATATAATTAAATTATTAATAAAAAAATATATTTATTGATAAGTAACTAGTTTTTACAATACAAATTATGTAAAAAAAATATTTGAATTAAAAAATAAAACTAATTTATTAAAATCACAACAAACTAAGATTATATTATATATAATATTGAAAAGTTAAAGGAAAACACACATTATTTTGAATTTGTTATAATAAATATTTGTTTAAAATATAAAAATTTATAATAAAATAATTATAATTCTGAGAAGAAAAAAAAATTTAATTCACAAATTAAATAGATAATATTGATTATTATTAATTTTACATATCACTTCATATCGGTAATAAAAGCTTTTTACATTTTGAGATGATAATTAAATCACCATTCAAAACAGTGATGATTATTTTCGGTAATTCAAAATTACTATAATATCATTAAGTGCTTATTAAATATAGTGATTTAATTATCATAGTGAAATCAACATGATTTTTTTGGAATAATCATCCCATGCCGTTGGTTGAGAATTTTTTTTTTTCATTCCTTTACGTACAAAGAGAAATCTTATATTTCATAAAAAAGAAAAAAGAAAAAAATCATATATTACGTGCAGTTGAAAAAGAAAAAGCACTTAAAATAAAAGGTTTGGGTGGATTGAGGGATTTGAAGTGCACAGAATTGTGTCACTTTCTTTATAATTGGCTCATCCAATACCTCGGATTATAAATGTACCATAAAACTCATTGATATGTGAATATTACTAGAACAAAATGTACATTTTATATTCATTATATGTACATCAATTAAACCCAAAAAGAGAATGTGAATATGTTCTTTATTTATTATTATGAGACTGCACATACAAGAAGTCGTATGAAAATAGGGGAAAAAAACAAGAGAAAATGTAAAAGATGTGAAATAATATAAATATTCATAGAGTTTCAATTACTATCATATATATATATATATTATATTGTACATACTGTTACATTTTTTTATAAATTACGTACTGTTACAATTAAATATACATATTTTTGTAAAAGCTTGTGCATGTCACCTAAGTATATGTATATATTTTGGTGTGAGATCTTTTTCTTTTATTTATTTTTGTAAATAAAACAAGAATTAAGAATGCAATTACTGGTAATAATTTAAAAACCTTTTTATGAATTAATTTTTCTCACAAAATGATTTTAGTATTACTGATAAATAATATATTGTAAATACTAAAATTTAAATCATATACTTCTTAGATATCATTTTTTAAAAGTAATTACATAAATCATTTAAAGTAAATTATTTCTATGAAGAAAATGTGCTGAAGTCTTAATGATGCCGAAGAGGCAACTATCAAAGATGGAACTTTTACAGAACTTGATCAATGAAGAAATGGAGTTTGATCATATTCACCGGAACACGCATAAAGAGAAAGAAAAAAACAAAGGAAATCAAGCTTATATCCCCAATTCCATTATAATCATTGATTTAGCAAGCTCGAGACGTTTGAAACTGATAAAATACCGTACTTGGCAAGGCATATTTTCATTGATGATACTGCCCGAAGGTAATGAACTCAAGAGGAGATTTCTCTCTAAAAATGAAATTCATAGCCATTTCCATTGTTTTTTTTATGTTACATAGGATAAGGGTACACAACAAGGTCAAAAGCACAATTGCTCAAACCTCAAAACTCTATCGGCTAATTATGCTACTACTAGTACAGTACAAATGTTCTCTCAATTTTTACTAGGAAGACCATACAAAATTGTGACAAGCTTCCGACAGCAGCCCAAAGAAATGAAGGAAAAATTGACTGATCAAATAGCATCAGCACCATTTTGAATGTTCCAAATGACCCGGTCAACACTTCTGCTGCACCAAACAATTTCAGAAGGCTACCAACTACAGCAACAATCGGCAGCTGTTCTCTCATCTGCCTTGATAATTATTCAATCAATCACGAGGCCTCTCTCATGAAAGAATCCCTAATGTAATCAAACCATTTTACTTCTTCCGCTGCTTGCGGACCCGCACATATTTTCTGCCAGACTTGTCACTGCCACCGGTGCCCAATGAGAAGCTCCCTCCGGCACCAAATTCCAGACTACCAGATGCCTGAAATGGAGATGGATTCTGTGGTGTGGCTATGCGTGGTGGCCCTCCAAATTGGAAAGAACTGGCTCCTGATGGGTTTGATGAACCAAAAACAAACCCAGAAGCAGGTGGTGAGATTGGCTGTTGACCAAATGTCGGAACAGTTGTTGCAGCCTGAACTGTGTCCTCAGCCATACTATCTTCCATATGATCACTATTACTAGAGAGAGTTGACCCAAACATCAAGCTAGGACTAGTGTTACCAAACACAGGCTGTGATGGAGTAGCAGCCGCAGCTGAAGTGAATGAAAATACAGAACTTGAAGAGGCACCAGTGGATGACCCAAAGATAGTAGGTGCACCGCTAGGAGCACTAAGAGAAGCTGATGATCCAGAGGAAAACCCCATTGATGAAGAACCAAATATGGACGACTTAGGGGCTTGCCAATTGGAACCAAATGTGCCAGCAGGCATGCCACTGCTAGAGCTAAGAGAGTTGATTTCTAAAGAGGAAGAACTCATTCCAAATGTAGCCCCTGAACCAAAAGGTTTAGCTACAGATGCTGATGACCCAAACATTGAACTGCCAGAGGAAAAAGTTGTATTCACAGCCAGTCCAAATGATGGACATGATGCAGATGAAGAAAACTGAATGGGCATGCTTTGAGTTGAGGTACCAATGCCAGTTCCAGCTGCAGATGCTTGGGTATTAACAGCATTAAAAGGATTTATACCCTGAGTCTCTGTACTAGATGTGGATGCAGATGGAGCACTGAATCCAAAGATGTTGCTTCCTGTGCTCGTGATTGCAGATGTAGTGGAAAAAATACTACTTCCTGTACTAGCTATTGGCAAAGATGTACCACCAAAAATACTACTGCCCGTGCCTGTAGTTGCAGATGTGCCACCAAAGATACCATTGCCTGTGCTTGTCTCTGTGGAAAATGTGCTGTTGAAAAGGCCACTTCCGCAGTTTGTGATGGTGGAAGATATACCAATGAAACTGCTATTTCCAGAGATTGTGACTGCAGCTGTTGTACCACCAGTCGTGCTGCTCACAGTGCCTGTAACTTCAGATCTACCACCAAAAATACTACTTCCGGAGCTGGTAAAAGCAGATGCACTAACAAAAGGAGCAATGCCTACATTACCAAGGCTTCTGTCCTGGGTCTTAGCTTCAGTTGCTTCCCCTGAAGTTGCTGATAATGTTGAAACTGAAGCTGTTGGGTCCCCAGAGGATGCAAGTTTGAAAACAGGTGCATCTGTAAAGGAAGGGAATGAAGCCTCCATAGAGGGGCTGCCAGTACTGCTGATGGTGGCATTGGCAGTTGCAGAAGTGGTGGCAGCAGCAGAAGTGTCACTATTGGTGGTGGACATATAGTTGGTAGAGCTATTGGATGAACTTTGACCATTATTTGAGACTAGAGATGGTGCAGGTGAAGAGAACGAAAAAGGACATGAAGCAAGAGACCCATTATTTAAAGTAGAACTATTTGCTGAGGCACCAAACTTGAAGACGCTTCCATCGGATGTCGAAGTTGATATGGCAGAGGTGACTGTAGTTTCAGGTGTCCTGAAGAAGATCCCATTCAGAGCATTGTCCTTATCAGTTTTATCTGACAAAAAATTGGTTGTACCAGGAGCGATAATAGCAAAGCTGAACATAAAGCGGAAAAGGTTTTAAAGAATAATACTCTAGAAGAAAACCATATGTACTGATCAATCATTGTATTGAGAAGAAACACTTTTTTTTTTTTTGTGATTGTTAGCAAAGTTGAAGGGAGGACATGACTAGAGATACCAAAGAGAAGCTAATTCAGTATATATACCTTCTCATTTCTTACTAAAATTTAATCTACTACAACTATTTGAAATGTCTTACCTTACTAATTTAATCATCAATAATGTCAAATTTGATTAATTTCACATAAAGTACCCGAATTATAGTCAAATTCTCGATTTTGGACCTAAAGTTTAACAATTAGCAATTAGGTACTCAAAATTTACTTCTATCCATCAGTTCGCACATGAGACTAAAACTGTTAGGCAAATGGGTGACATATCCAAACATCCAATAAGATTGTGACACAATGGCACATTCTTATTTGTTTGGAACACATCATTCATTTGACTAATGGTTTTAGTCCTTGTTGCAGATAGATGGACAGAAATTTGAGTGCCAAATTGTGAATTTTTTAACTTTAGGCACCAAATCGAGAATTTGATTACCCTTTTGTCACACACTATCTCAACCTCACCATGCAAAGCTAAATATTATCAAATGGACAAAAATATAAGCCTAAACTTGAAATCTACTATCTTGGAAGTCAGCTCTCCAATGGAAGGATTCTAACAATCAGAGGTCAAGTATCACATGTCATACAAGAATTATGACAATCAAATGTCAATTATTATAATCCTGAATTTGCATTTCCTAATAGGCACAGTAGCAGCTTTAATCAATCTAAAGAAGAAAGTTTTCCCCATTCTTTTTTCTTCTTAACCCAATGATGGTGTATTTAAAATTTGAAGGTAAAAACAAGGTAACCTAATGGGTGGAAATTTAAGAAAAAAAAAGTAAAGTAGGGAAACAACTTTCCTTTACCTTGCTAGAGAGTGAAGAGGACTGTAGGATAGAGAGTTATGTATTTCTGCTTGTGAACAGGATCACAAGCAGAAATCATTAAATGGTACAATACCAGAAGGATTTACAGAAATTAAAAAGTGAAGTTATATGGGAGGCAGCAAGGGTTAAATTCACCTCCAAAATCCCCTCCCATCCTTTTATACGAACTTGTGAACATGGTAGGGTAAACCTTTTAGTTCCTTTCAATCAACTAACCCCTAGTTCTATTTCATTCAACCCACTATTAGTGATTCTATGTACAATGCCAGAGCTTGAGGGTTAGAAAGAAAGAAAGGGGAAGAGAAGACAGAATTTAGCACTTTCCAAGCAAGAGAACTTGAACAATGCATATATACCAACCTGCTTGAGTTCTCTAGTTTTTGGTCTGAACTTGTGGCAAGCTTAACACCTGAAGTTCCAGTAACTGATAAAACCTCACCAATATTTGTAGAGGCAAATCCAAATGTGGGAACAGCAGCATCTGACAGCTTTGCAGGCGCAACTTTCTCCCCAATGCTATGCGTAGGAGAAGGGGCATTTGATTCCTTAGAGACAGCATCTTTATTGGCTGTTGGAGTTGACTGAGCAACTACAAATGCTGACTGCATAGATGAAGTGGCCACCTGTGCAACTGCTGATCCATCAGATTTTCTCAAATCAGGATTTTGGTTGAATGAAGCACTTGAAATAGGCTTAACTTCAGAAAGACTAAAAGGCTTCTCTACTATAGCTTCAGGAGCAGCACTCTTACTCCCCAAGACACAATTATCCAACATCTCTCTCCCTTCACCAAATGTAGGGGATGCGAATCCACTAGTATAGTCATCATCATCCAGATCCAGATAATCCTGTGACAGAGAACATAAACATTAAGGTGTTAAAAATGGAAACAGAATGGGATAAAAAAGATGTGAAGCTTACAAATATCCTTGCTCAATACAAAAGTAGGCATTTGACAAATCCTCTTCTTCTGGTATTTTTTAATCAAAACAATAGTACTTGATAGGCAAAAGTACCAGGAGGAATTTTGATCATTAATAATTTGCCCTATTCGACTACCAAAAAATCAGAACCAAAATGATTAAGACATCAATTATATCAGTTTCTAATTAATGCATACCTCATGTGCACTCATTTGAAAAGCCTGTCTATTTTGTTGAGGTAGCTGTACAACAGACTTGATCACAGTGGAATCAGCAGCTTTAACACTAGCCACATTATTATCCTTTATTAAACTATTACTATCTACACAATTTACTGCAGGAACTGACTTGTCAAAGAGAGAAACAAATGTTGTTGAGCCATTTTCTTTATCACGCTTGTGAGACATATAGTCTTGAATATCAGGCAGTGCTGCGTGAGAACCACTCAATTTCTTACTATCATGCTTGTTCTCCACAAATTTTGTAGAATCTACATTCTCAAGGCTTTTAAGAGCCTGCCCACGTAGCATAGATGGTGACAACTTAGTTGGTGATTTTTCCCCAGGGGAGACCAACTTGTCAAGTTGCTGTAAAATTTTTGAAGCCATCTCACTGGACTTGGATGGAACAGGGGTAAAACTTGTGCCAGGAGTGCTGTTATCCCCATTCTTGGCTAGAGTATCCAAACCAGCTGAACTAGTGCCAGCTACATGGGTAGATAGAGGACCACCAGAAGCAGGTAAACTTAAGTTTTTTGAAGAAAGAAGGTTAGACTTTTGACGAATCCGGCGAATAGGGCCAATTGATCCGATATCATTGTCTAATACCGAACTCCTGCGCTTTAAAACCTGCGAAGAAAGAAACACATCCACTGATATTCTCTAGATGAAGATATCCCAAAAAATAGAAATATCGTGATCCAGAATTAATTACCCCTTGTCTAGTGCTAGAAATTCTGTTTTGCTCCCCTGCACTCTGAGATGAGGATGATGGTCCACCAAATGCATCACTTGCAGTGGCAGCACTCTAAGGAATGGGCAAACAACTAGAATAAGACAAATGATAAACAAGCAATTATAAAAGAGAAATGATTGTCAAGCAAATTGACCTTGAGAACAGTTGCTAAGTTAACCCTGGAATAAGGTGTTCGTGCCATACTATATATCGCAGACCTGCCCCACGATCTTGGGCTCACATAACCATTTCCAAGACTCCCAACATTGCCAGAAGATCTTGGCACAAGTGAAATTGTGGATGACTTAGAAGGGAAAATTTTATTTCTCGGCAAAGCTGAATCTCCCCTAGGCACTTGATTTTGTAATCCAAGCATTGATACAGATACTTTTGAAGGCCTACTGCCCATGTAAGCTTTTGCAAGCTCAGCAGGTGAAGCAACATCCCCGTCAAGGACCTGCAAAACCATGGAATTTTTTTTTCTATGAAATTAAAATTATGCAGACTAGCAAAAAGCATTTGAGGGTATGTTAGCCCAAAAGCAAACGAAGGAAAGAAACTTTTTCCTTACAGTTGGGCTGACAACAGGTGTTGAAATAAGATGGTTCTCAGTCACATTTTCTCCAACTGGGGTCTTTGGAAATTCTTTCTTGTCATGTGATGCCACTGGTTTCACTTCAGACCTCTTTTCCTCATTTCCACCAGGAATATCAACGGTTCTTGAATGTAGTAAACTAGTCAAACGAGCAATTTCAGATCTGAAAAAGAATAATAATAATAATAATAATAATAATAATAATAATAATAATCATTATCTATAGCATCAAGAAAATTTGTGTTGAAAGAATTACTAGTTAAACATAAAGATACAAAATAAGCCCGCCCAAAAAAGGGCCGGTGAAGTTTATTCCCATCCAAGCTGAAGCAATGAAGGAAAATCACAAAGCATGACAACAGCATGTAAAGAATGGAAACTAAATAGCCCAACAGCCAACATGAAAAGTGGCAAGAATAACTAGAATTTGCACAAATAAAAAAAAGAGGATGCAATCCAATTCATTCAGCCTTTCTTCCAGTGGATTGAAACTAAGAGATATATAGACGCTTTGGAATCCTAAAGCATGAGCACACACAATTACAAAATGCAAATTATCACAAATGACACCAACTTAATTTGACAAAGTTCCCTTAAAGCAAAGTAGCACAATAACCATGCATTTCAATTTGACATCAATAAGAGGCAATTTCAGATCATCCTGCCTGGTAAATGTCTTCTGCTTTAAAATTTCCTCAAGTTCAGCAACTCCACCTTCATCAATATGATTACCACGATACTCACATCCTATGACAGTTCCTTGCACAACAGGAGGGACCTATGTGGGAAAATGTACATAAAACAACAAAGCACGTAAGTTGGGTTGATCATAGAGAAAATCACAAAGGGGAAACTTTATAAACAAGTAAATAGGAACAATATCATTCAAAAAAAAAAAAAGAAAAATAACCTGAAAGTAACCTCCACAATTAACAATGAATAAAAGTGACATGAGAATTTAGGACAAAGACTGTTCCTAACATTTAGTACATGTGACCCACTATTAATGTTCTATTGCTCCAAATAAAAGGTAACATACAAAGAAAAGCATGTATCTAGTATCAAAAATTAAAAAAAATAAAACAATTTTTTCAAACAAAATGAGAAGGAAGTGCTGAAAATGGTTTAATGAAAACCTCAAGTTCAATTCCCCCATAAAGCAAAGTATAGCAGCATGCAGCATGATGCCTTTAATAAAAACAAATGGATTCCAACATGGTTGGCTTTGTAAATTGCTATTGACCTTAACATATATCAATTTTCCTTAAGAGACAAAGTTTGATGATTGTCATAGAAAAAAAAAAAAAAACAAAAACACACATCAAGCTATGTTTACACAACATGTATACATAAATATACACTGTCATAGGCATATTTTATTTATTTATTTATTTTTTGTTATTTTATCCAGCAAAACAAGTAAAAAGCAAATGACCATGTACAAACTTAATCAAAATATCATTTATTTAATCATTATTTTCACTCCAAGTTTCACTTCATATTTTTATGCACCTTTCTCATCTTTATTCTTTGTTTGGCTGTATTGTGCAATCATAAATTTAGTGGGTGTTAGGCCCCAGCTTATAGAAGAGCTTTTCTATTGTAAAAGCAGAAGTAAATATTTGGCTCTCAAAAGTTTTAAATTTTTAACTTATGCGGTGAAGCCCATTTGAGCTTTTAGACGAAACTATAAATCAAAGCTTCTCAGCAAGCGCTAATGAGAATTTTTTTTTTTTATATTCTCAGCTGACCCATCAACAATTCATATGTTGTAGGGAAAATTATATTTTTTGACATTAATTTTTTTATTTGGTTCAATTTTTTTCTCTTGATTTCATTTATTTTTTATATTTAAAATTTATTTTTTCTATTTAAAATTAATCATGTTCATCAAACATTCTTAGTATGTACTACTTAGAAAATTCCAGTACCAAACATGTTCACCATTTTCATTCTTAGAAAAAAAATTTACTTACTATACTAAAAGGATTTTCAAGAAATAAAAATATAGGCAATAAAAAATGTTATCAAAAAACTAAAAAGAATACCACAAATGTAAAATGTTTTAAGAAGCCAAAAACACCATATTGGTATAATTGCTACAAAAATTGATTCAAAAGTGAAACAGTACTTAAACCGAACCGCAAATTTTAATGCTATGTTTGGGAGCAAAATTCAAGAAACTGGATTCGGATTTGGTTACTAATAAATTCCGAGAATAAGAGCACACAACGTGTAAAAAATTGCTAAAGATTCAACATATCTATGTATTTGAGAGGGTATAAGAAGATGAATTTTAACTTTCCTATTTCACATATGTACTTCAAATTTATCTCTAAGCATAGAACTAACAAATCCACACTTTTGAAAACAATCATGACAATAGTGTTTTTATTTAATCCATCAAACAATTTATACTAAAATTTGAAATCCAAATCCCTCTTTCAAATTCAACTTTCCAAATGCAACCTATAAGTACTGCACTATGAGACTTTTGCACCAAAAATCAAGATAATTCTACCACATAGCATTTCTTTCATATAATTATATTGAAGAAAGAAAAATTTAAGTTCTATATATTCAAAGTTCACAAATATATAGTTTTCATTTTTCAGGTCTGAAAATGTTAAAAACCAAAAATAAGCAATTAATTAGACAGAGAATCTTTAATCAAGCTAACAGGAACATAAAAATAACTAGGTGTAAATATGTAAGCTTGAATACTTACTGTTGAAGTTGCTTCTGGTGGATTCTCCATTGCTTCCTGATTAGTCTCTGATGACATTATTACATGCAATGTTTAATCAACATTACCAAAAAAAGAACAGAACTAATTCATGGTAATTCAAACTTCAAACATGCCTGACAGAAAGAACTCATAAAAGAACAGATTGTAATCACCAATCTCTTATTTTCTCATGGTTAAAATATCCCGAGCATTAATTTGCAAGAAGAAAATGAAGTAAAACAATGCACATGCTTAGGCAAATTTGATATAATACAGTCAGCAATTCATTAACATATTTTTAAATACACATTAATTTCCCATTGAAAGTAACATTGCATAATAGCCACGGGCTCTCGTCTATATTTGTGTTACTGGGGAGTAATTATTCACTTTCAATGAAGAATATATCAACCAATAAGAAATACTGTACACCAAAAAGAAAACCAACGAAGAAACTGCTTTCATTTCAATAACAGCACAATTATAAAGAAAATTGTCATTCATAAGAAACACTTTCTTATACTCAAAATTTCAAAACGAATAAGCAAAAGCAAAACCCCAACTCCCAAATGTCTTCCTCTACCAGAAACAAGAATTTCCCGAATCAAATATTAACAAACTACCACTTAAAAACCCTAATAATAAAAGCAAGCTAACCGAACCCATTTCCACAAAACAAAAATAAAAACTTTTTTCTCTGTATTTTAATTTCAGAAACAATAAGAGCGTGCCAAGCAAAAAACTAACCAGAGTCCGCCCCTTGCGATGGATGAGGCGGTGGAGGAGGGAGGCGTTTCCTAAAGACGGAGGCAAAGAGCCTGTGAGCAGTTGAAGTAATAATTCTCTGCGCTGGATCAACCAATTTCGATAACCAACCATTTCTATAGCCGGTACCGCCGGGGTTCCTTATCGCAGTCGGTGGTCGATCGTATGGCGTCGTTTTTATTATCCTTAGAAACGGCCGTTTCCTGAACTTTCCTCCAGCTCCCAATCCGCCGTCGTACGGATTACTTTCCTCACGCGCCGTCGCCATCAGAGAGAGAAAAAAGTTAGGGTTTAGGAATTTTGAGGAAAAATATTAAGAGAGATGTAAAAGTTCGGTTAATTAGGGGCTTTATTCTTATTCTAAGCAAGAAGGGAAAGGAATAGAAAAAAAGAAATTAAAATTAAAATTAAAAAAAGGGAAAAAAAATGGGGATAATGTATTTCTACGAAAAGTATACGTATATTCGGTATCTCCGAGTAAGAGAGCAATGATAACAACGTATCCTAGAGGTCTTAAGAAAGTAACAGGCAAGGATGAACCAGGACAAAGAAGGTAGGTTTTATTTAATGATGATCTAACAATTCAATCGAAATTGAACGGTGTTGATTTGACGGTGCTTTTTTTCTGTTTTTTCTAGTTAATTTTATCTTAAAATAACAAAAACATTCATGAAATATTTTTTCTTTTATAATAAAATGCTCTTATGTTTTTATTGGGTAAGTTTTTAATTTTTAATTTGTATATAAGTAAGCGGTTAATTTTTAATTTATTTAAATAAAATTTTAATTTATATTTAAATTAATAGTTTTAAAAATAATTTCTAATCATCTCATCAAATTATGATAGCTTCCATCTAAAGAATTAGTTTAATAATTTTTTTAAAAAATTTTTTAAAAAATTATTAAACCTAACATCGATTTTGAAAAATATTAATATTAAATGAAGTTAAAAAAAATATAAAATAAAATTATTTTTCGCCACTATAACTTGATCGTTATTTTTTATACTCTCTTCATCATTAATTATTTACCATTTTTTAAAATTATCACTATTTGACTTTTAATGTTTTAAAAAATAATTTTAGTGTATTTCATATAAAAAATTATTTGTTAATAAAATTGATATTCCATGATTTTAGTATATATCTAATTTTTCTCAAGTTTATTTTTAATAGACTAAAATTTTTATTATTTTGTAAATTTCATTTCTTGCATTTCAAAGTACTTAAATTGGAAATATATTGTGTTTGTTTCTTAATCGGATACCAAAAGTTTGAGTTTGTTTCTTAATCGGAAGCCAAAAGTTTGAATTCTATGCTCATAATTAAATTGTTTTATTTTTCCAAATTTTGTTATTTAGTCCATTTCTTAACTAATTTAGATCTTGATAGTGAGATTAATTACTATAAGATAACTAAAAATTAATCTGATTAAATTATTAAATTAATTTTATTATGATCGAGCTTTATTATTGACTTTTAATTTTTGAAAGCATTTAGTTAACAAAATCTAATATTCTCTAAAAAAAAGTGATTAGAAGAGAATTACTTTATCCAATATATTATATTATTTTCATAATATATTATACATACAAATATGTTAAAAATATTTATTTACAAAGTATTATTTGATAAATATAAATAATTTTAAAATCTTTAAAAATTTTATTAATTTAAATTTAACTATTATGTTTTATTAAGATGACATTAATTAATAATATAGTTAAAGACAATACAATAAAAGATGTTATTTGATAATCTTACACTCTCTTAATCAAACACTGTTGAAACAAAAACTTGAATATAATTCTATTGAATATTGGAAAAAGTAATTATCTTCTAATCACTTTTTTTTAGAGAATATTGGATTTTGTTAACTAAATGCTTTCAAAAATTAAAAGTCAATAATAAAGTTCAATCATAATAAAATTAATTTAACTATATTTTCATAATATATTTTTATAATAGGTTAGCTTTTATTTTAAAATGTGGAATTTTGAAATTATAGAATTTAGAAAAATAATTATTTTTGTAATAAATTATGTTTTTTATTTGAAAAACATAGTCATTTGAATTTATCATAAAGAAAATACTATGTTTTGTGAGTTTTTTTTTTTAAATCATAGAGAAAATATTACCTTTTTTCAAATAACAATGTAGTTTTTTTTAATTTATAAGAATTTTACATATGAAGACTACATTTTGGTCCCTGATTAGATTAGAATAAATGATATTTTAGATGATGATGGTTATGAGTACAAAGTTGTGAATTGTGTCTCAAATCAAGTAATGAGAAAATGACGGCAATTTTGTTGATAGGGTTGGTAACCCAACTCGAACCCAGTAGGTTTCGACCCGACTTGATTTTATAGAATCGATTTTTTTTTTTAAAATTGGGTTTTGGATCGGGTCGAATTCGGATTTTAGATAAACCCGACCCGATCCAACATGATATTATATTAAAAATTATTTTTAATTATTTTTTAAATTTTGTATTTATATATAATTATATATTTATATTTAAAAAATAATATTTTATTAATTTTAGGTCGAGTCAGGTACAATTTATACTATATCAGATCGGATCAGGTTCGGATATAAAAAATAATAAAAAATTTTCAAGTCAAATCATTCGAATTTTATGATTATAAAATAGGATCGGGTTCAAGACGAGCAAAACCTCGTCTTGACCTGACCCATTGCCAACCCTATTTATTGATGGCTTTGTGTGCAAGTTTGATGATGCAATGCTTATATGTGATAAGCTTTAAGCAATAAAAGTTCTAACTTCTAAAGAAAAAGGTTATATTTTTGTATAAAACAAAACATTTTCCTTGTTTCTTAAAATCATAAGGTGAAAAAAAATACATTTTTAAGATAAAACACGTAGTATTCTCCTTAAAATTTTTGTAAACATTAAATTTTTTCATAATATGTTTTTAACAAAAATCATATTTTTAATAGTAAAAACGTCATTTTTGTTGAAATTATAAATTTATGAAAAGTAATTTTTTATAGTATTATTTAACATTTAAAATAGCTTTATTTTATTATATTTCAATATTATTTATTTTATTTTATAAAATGAAATAAATAACAAAAATCACATTTACTTTGTAATTTTAAGAAATTAGAAAAGATAATATAATATGAAAATGCAATTGAGCAATGGCAAAGGGGAAAAAATTTTTACTTCCCCTTCATAATCTAAAAAATTTCAAAGAGATAAGAGTTTTTTATTCCTTTACTTTATCCCTTTTTGACACTGTTAAAAATCTTAAAAAACCTTAGGAATCAATTTTCATGAACAAAACTAAAGAATCAAATTCCGAAAAATAAGATTTTGACTAGGAATCTTACTTTTCTTTGAACCAAATGCCTCTTTCAAGTATGATGAAAAGTGATTATGGGATCATCTTGTATGGAAGTTTCATGAACTTTTTGAATCTTCCATCAAACTAGTGATATGAAACTGCTATAAAAATTGAACAAAATCCACACGATCAATTTGTAAAAACCTTACTCTTGACAATAGAGGAAGAGAAGATTTTCTTTGGTGAAAATCAAAGATAAACTTTTCTTTTGTAAAAAGGTGAATTGTTATCACGTAAGTTTTTAATGGTTGGACAAATGTGTTCTTCACCCAATGAAAGACTCAAAAGTCCTTTTCATCTATTTATCAAATAATTAATTACGATTTAATTCTTGATTAAATTATTAGGATAAAACTTAATAGTTATCCTTGGTAAAAAGATTAAAGCAATTATCTCTTCATGATTGGATTATTCTAAAGAGTCCAACATCTCCCACTTGAAAGTATAATTTAAAATTCATATGTGAATATTAGATTACCACAATTAGAAAAATTAATTGACATACCTATTTGAGCAGCCATAGTTAACAAGCAAAAGTAGCAGTAATTATGGTTAGATTAGGTCTTTTTTTTTCTCTTTTTTTTTAATGACTTTTAATGAATAGATACATTAATTAGAAGTGAAGAAGGGACCTTAGCTAATTTTATTAAAACTTTAGAAGCCTCCCCATCAAAAGACTTATTGGGCTAAAGGCCTATGCAACCACCAAACCACCCTGATCTTATAAGATGTGTAAAACCCACCACACATAAGTGATCATTATTAAATTATTTAAGCTCTTATGCTTGTATTGTATTAGAATCAAATTTATCAATTAGTTTTATTAAACTATAAAATCACCAATTAATTATAGTCTACTTATTGAAAATTCTAATATTCTCACACTTGGGCAATATTAATTAGGTTGTTTTAGTTTAAGAAAACATAATTTAGAAAACAATATTCCAAGCTAATTAACTTTACCTAAAGTGGTCATAGTTTTAAAAAATAATTTAGCTCTTAATACCACATCTTAATAATTATTTCCAATAAAATCATTTAATACCGAATCATAATAGGCTTAATGCCCCTCATCGACATAACACCAATAATTTTTAAAAACAATTTAGTTTTTAAGACCACATCTTAATGATTCTGTCCAATAAAACAATCTAATACTGAAAGTGTTTATACCCTTTATTGACACAAGACCAATCCATGGTTATAAGTACCAAAGACTTTTATTGACAATGATTCTTAGTGTAGTTGTGTCGCAAGGAAATAACACTCGAGTGTGATCTCAATGTGTTATTTTCGTTGTCAATCCTTTTATTGATTCCTTTAAACTTGTTGATAAATCTCCATGGCTTCCAAATATGGCTATATGTCTCCTCAAATCACAAAAACTCTCACTAATTCAGTAAATCAAAAGTATGTTCCAATGAAATTCTAAATGATGAGTAAAGAGCATAATAATAAATGGAGTCATAACAAAATTATGTATTATTTGCACTCATGCCAAATGTGATAAGTACTATTGTTCTTGGACTTTCATAATGACACTTTAATAATGATTTACAAAATTACTAACATATTATGAACAAAAATTTCATATTCATTTATTCGAACAATTCAAAATTCTTAATGTTTCAACATGCGAATATTTTCCACAAATTTGAAATTGATTGAATTATCAATCTTTTTTATGATCAATTGCTTATAAACTTTAATTGATCTCAACGTATATAATATCTTAAAAAAATAAGCTTTAAAGCGTTAGTTCTTACTACTTTGAAAAACATATGCAGAAGAACTCCTACTAATTTTTTACTTTCTTTAAAAAAATAGTTTTGGCATTAATAAATAATAATAAGAAAGTCAAATCCTTTATATTAACATTCTTTGCAATAAGTGTCAAAATTAATTCATATATAGTTCAAAACAAAGGAAGTGAAATGAGAGAAAATTATAAAATTTTTATTCTCTTTCAAAAGTAAACCAACAAATTTAGGGAAGATTATTAAACAAGGAATCGAATCAATAAAAACAAAATAAGTAGTTTACTTATTTGTACAAAATTCATTCATCAAAACTCTAAAAGTGTGGTAAATGTAAAACAATATTCTTCTCTCATGTGTAAGTTCCTTAAAAGAAAATATCAATTTTCCTCAAAACATATTGTCAACAAATG